GCCGCCGAGCCCTGCCCCCCCAGGCCGGCATTCACGCGCCCCATCGTCCGTCTGCACACCAGGGCTCTGGGAGGGCTTTGTGCACGGGTGTGTTTATATAACTGTTTTACTGTGATATAATTCAGACAGTATACAATTCACCCACTTAAAGGGTGCAATTCAGTGGGGTTTAGTATATTTACTGAGTTGTGCAACTGTCTCCGTAATCGATTTTAGAAACTTTATCACCCCACCCCCCATCAAAAACTACACCGATTAGCTGTCAGTCTCCGGGCCGGTAGGTCACAGAATTAAAGCTTACAGGGGCTTGTGGGCTTTTTATGAGGAGACAGTAGGAGCCCCAGGTAGAGTGACAACATACACAGCCAAAACGTAGGGACAGCCTGCCCTGGTCTCTGGGGACTGTGCAGGGGAGGGTGCCACTCCCCTCTCAGGCCACTTTCCTCCTGTCCGCCATGTGCTGACGTCCACCTGCTGTCTTCAGCCTCGGCCGCTTCTGGTTTTGTGCTCAGGGTGATGTGGACTGCGAGGGGCCCATGGCCTCCACACAGCCGGTCCCTCCCATGTGCGCCACCCCTACTGTTGAGCCCAAGGACAGGTTCCTATAAACGCCAGCTCCAGCCAGGCACTGTGACGAGCTCACTAGAAAAGTTCACGTGATCTCAGACATCCTAGAACTGAAGAAGACACTGGCTGTGTTGTCTGTCTGTCCCCATTCTCCGGCCTCTGCTTTGGCGTTGCATCCCCTCATCCCAGTCTAGGTGGTTGGGTGGACCCAACACATGACCCAGAGCCAGCCAATCAGGGCCCTGCTGCCCTCCAGCAACAATGATTGGCTCGGAAGTCAGGGTGTGCCACAAGCCTGGCCAATCAGAAGCCAGTCTCAAGATTCCGGCTGGCTTTGGGGCGAAGGAAGAGGTTTTCTTCTCCAAGGTTACTGACCTAGTGGTGTGTGAGCTGGGCTGGCCTGCAGGAAGTTCGAGGGAAACAGGGTAGGGAACTGGAGGGGAAGGGCACCATGACATTGCTGCAGTCCTCGCCTCCTTGAACTTCTGAGCTGTCTATGCCCCTACATCCTCTTCTACACCTGGTCCCTATTGGGTGTGTTTCCATCATTTGCAAAATGTGCTTGGAAGTTGTGCTTATTGCATGGCGCTAAGGCGCTAATGAGCTTCGTTGCACAGGTAGGCTGCATTG